CCAGGGCAGGCGTCTTGGATGGCCTTCTGGGAAGCAGCGGACTGGGATTCCCCTGAGCTCCAGCACCTTCTGGACCCAGTGTGGACCCACTGCGCATCATGTATAGCTGTCTCCATTTTAGGGAGATGAAGCGATTTGGGCGAGGAGCTTACATAGCTAGAAAGTGGCTGAGCCAGAGTTAGAACCCATCTCTGGAAGGCCACATAGGACCTGGGTTCCCGTTAACAGTTTACTGAGTAGGCCAAGCATGGCGGCTCCGTTATTTTATTTTATTTATTTTTTGAGACAGTCTCACTCTGTCCCCAGGCTGGAGTGCAGTGGCGCGATCTCGGTTCACTGCTATCTCCGCCTCCGGGGTTGAAGCAATTCTCCTGCCTCAGCCTCCCGAGTAGCTGGGACTACAGGCAAGCGGCACCACGCCCAGCCAATTTTTGTATTTTTTAGTAGAGACGGGGTTTCACCATGTTGACCAGAATGGTCTCGATCTCTTGACCTCATTCTCCGCCCGCCTCGGCCTCCCAAAGTGCTGAGATTATAGGTGTGAACCACCACGCCTGGCCCCATTATTTTTTTTAGAACAGCTTCTTGGAAATATAATTCATGTACCATATAATTCACTCACTTAACGTGTACAGTTCAACAGTTTTATTATGTTTACAGAGTTGTACAAATGCTACCACAATCAATTTTATATTTTCCTCACCTCTAAAAGAAACCCTATACTCCTTAGCTATCACACCCGAATGTCTCTATCCCCCCACCTTAAGCAATAACGAATCTACTTTCTCTATCTGCCCGTTCTGGACATTTCACATAAACGGAATGATATAATATGTGGATTTTGGTAATTCTGACTTATCTCACCCAGCATGCTGTTTTCAGGGTTCATCCGTGTTGCAACATGTATCGGTAGACCTGGTCACTCCTTTCTAGGGCTGAATAACAATTAGCAGCATAGCTTTACCGCATTTTGTTTATCCATTCATTAGTTAAGAAGCTTTTGGTTTTTTCCCCTTCGGCCATCATGAATAATGTTGCTATGAACATTCATGCACAAGTTTTGGTGTGAACCTGTGTTGTTCTCTTGGATATATACCTAAGGGTAGAGTTACTGAATTATATGGTGATTCTATGTTTAACTTTGTGAGGAACTTCCAGACTGTTTTCCAAAGTAATTGTACCATTTGATATTCCCATCGGCATTGTATGAAGATTCCATTTCTCCACCTCCTCCCTAACGATTGTTAATGTCTGTGTTTTTGATGGTGGCCATCCTCATGAATGTGAAGTGGCAGCTCATGGTGGTTTTGATTTGACTCTGATGACTAATGATGTTGAGCATCTTTTTTGGTTCTTATCAGCCATTTGAGTATCTTTTTTGGAGAAATGTCTATTTAGGTCTTTTGCTCCTTTTTCTATTGTGCTGTCTTTTTATTATTGAGTTTTAAGAGCTTCTTAAGTATTGTTGATAAACCTTATCAGGAATATAATTTACAAATATTTTCTCCCATTCTGTGGGCTGTCTTTTCACTTTGTTGATAGTGTCCTTTGAAGCACAAAAGTTTTAAATTTTGATGAACTCCCATTTATCTAGTTTTTCCTCATGGGCTTGTGCTTTTGGTGTCATCGACTTCCCAGTTTTAAAAACAATATTTAATATAGACAAATGTGACCATACCAAAACGGTCATCAGATTTCACAAACCGTATACAAAATGAGCAGTCATGAGGATTTGAGAATCTGTTAAAGAGCTGTTGGTGTTTTGTTTTTTTTCAAGCTCACACTTAAAAAACTTCTTTATTATACTCCACTTTATTCCAAAAATAATTTGATGCCGCTTTTGAAAATTCGAATAAGACAAAAAGATGCCATAAATAAACAACTCTGAGCAAAATGAAAGTATGCATCTTAAGATGAATCCGAAAGTAAAGTCAGTGCATAGAATTACATACACAGAGCTTCCTAGTGACCAAGGCAAAGAGGAAAATATAGTTATTTATTAATATAAGATCTGCAGGCCTGTGACATAAAAACACGTCTATAGTTTAGAGGAGGCGTTGCTCTTCCTGGCACAGAGGCCGGAAATAAATTCCCCTCCATGGCCCCTCCTAAAGGGAGAATGTGTTTGAATTTATCAGTTGGAAAAAAGCAGGTCTTGCTCTCTTCTAGCGATAAATTCAAGCACACGGATGACGTCCCTGATAACCTATCTTCTCACAGCCCAATTTCCTTTTCTTTGTATTTCCAAAGCCACATCTGTCTTCCTGCTAACAATTTTGCCACACATGCAATTGTCCTTGCTGTAGTAATATTTCAAAAATCACAAATATGAACACCTCGCTTCCCTTCTTGAAATTCTTCAGTAACTCCCAGCTTCCCTGATAAAATCCAAACTCTTCAACATAACTTATAAGATAGCTTATTTATTATTAATTTATACATTTATTTATTTTGAGACAGAGTCTCACTCTGTCACCCAGGCTGAAGCACAGTGGTGCAAGCTCGGCTCACTGCAACCTCTGCCTCCCTGGTTCAAGTGATTCTCCTGCCTCAGCCTTCCGAGTAGCGGGGCTTCGGGCATGTGCCACCATGTCCAGCTAATTTTTTTTGTATTTTTAGTAGAGACAGGGTTTCACTGTGTTAGCTAGGCTGGTATCAATCTCCTGACCTCATGATCCACCCACCTCAGCCTCCCAAATTACTGGGATTACAGGCGTGAGCCACCAAGCACAGAAGCCCTTGGTTTTGGACACTTCCCCACCGCGGACCCCTGCTTGCCAGTGCCTTCACTTTGAAACCCTGTATTAATCTTTTCTCATGCTGCTAGTTAAGACACACCTGAGACTGAGTAATTTATAAAGGAAAGAGGTTTAATGGACTCCCAATTCCACAGGCCTGGGGAGGCCTCACAGTAATGGTGGAAGACAAAAGAAGAGAAATGGGACTTCTTACATGGCAGCAGGCAAGAATGAGCTTGTGCAGAATTTCCATTTATAAAATCATCAGATCTCATGAGACTTACTGCCACGAGAACAGTACAGGAAAGAACCGCCCCATGATTCAATTGCCTCCCACTGGGTCCCACCCACAACATGTGGGAAGAATGGGAACTACAATTCAAGATGAGATTTGGGTGGGAGTCACAGCAAACCATATCAAACCCTCAAACCCTCAATCAGGTCTGCGTTCTCTTAGTTTACTCACACTTCTAACAAGGATGTGTGTTTTTCCAAGATGACAGCTGATTAGAAGCACCAAATTAAAATGGCGAACAGTTGCTACAGATAGAATATTGATATGATGGTTTATTAGTATGGAGGAAATTGAAAAGTTATAAAAAGCAAATCTAGATACTCAGTAAGGGGACTAATCTGAAGCTGCTTAGTGCAAATACAAACCCTTCTGCTTAGCCAATCACCCTAAAGATCAGCGTATTATGCGATATGGTAGAACCTGCGCCTTTCACAATGCTAAAGCTAAGGATAAACGATTTTTATTGTACTCAGTTGCAAGGAAGCATGAAAATATGCAGTACTGTTTAGAATAATTTTTTATACACTGGTTAATGTAAAACAAATATTTAACTATTAGTACTTAAATTAATAAAATATTAGTTAAAAAGAAAATTTAATTCTCCAAAACAGTGCCCACTTGTAGGTTTCATTAACTGAAGTCTTACTCCAGAGGGAAAGAATGATCCCCCCACCCTCAAATTCTCTGCACCAATTTTTAAAAGAATAGAAGATTTTTGAAATACAAGAGAAATATATATTTATTATGAAAATACAGATAAATCCAAAGAAAAAGACTTACGAACAATCTCACTTTTCAAAAATAGCTTCTCACATTTTGAAAGCTTTTTCTTCTGTGTTTTCACTGTCTATATATATGTATATGATTTTTTTAACAAAAATGTTGCTGATTTACAGTTTTTGTGGACTTGCTTCCACATGTCGTGAGGATTTTAACGTAGAAAATACAATCAACATCGCCATCTGAATGTCCACAGTCGGTGCTAGTTTATGGCTGGCTGTTCTGTGTGTTACGCAACCGTCTGTTGAACATTTGGGTTATTTCAGATTTTTCTGCTCCTCCTCTGATTCTGGGCCCCATGGTGACTTCGTGGCTGATGCTGGAACCATTCTCTTTGGTTTGCTGGGTTCTCTGTGACTTGAAAGCATGATACATCTCCTGCTAGGGCCGTTGCAACTTGTAATAATGGCGCTTTGTGGTTTAATGAGAACAGGGCTCTATTAATCCCTCTTCGTCTGACCTCAGCCAACCTCGCCCTCAGTGGAAGCAGGATTCTTAGGCCCTTGGGACCCTATTGAGCTGTTGTCATAGTGATTAGTGCCAGGGGCAGGGTCACTGAGCCAGTGTCCCTAACCAGAACATCTCCATCTTAATGACAACCGTAGATCATGGTTGTTCATTTTCAAGCGTGCCAAGAAAAGGGACTAACAGGCTGCAAGCCCGCATTTGATCTGACTGCACAGAGGCTGGGCTGTTGAAGCTTTCTGAGGCCTGGCATTACTCTCCCCAGGAGAGAAGCTTAGCTGACTTGGCCAAAGAGCCCCCAAGGGTCCCCCTGGGACAACTTTTAGGCCCCTGAGCGCTGGCATCTGGAAACAGCTCCCACTGCTGTAACTAAGGCTTGGGAGGAACCCAGGCAGACAGGCTCCCTGTGACTTCACAGAGTGGAGCTTCTTGTCACTTGATGGCAGGGCTGAAAGAACCTTGGAGATTATCAGGCCTGTCTCCCTCTGGTACAGATGGGGAAACTGAGGCAGGAGGAGCCAGATCTGATGCCAGCACATCAGGAGCACAGTGCTAATCAGGCAGTCCCTTCCCACCTTCCAACTCCAAAGAACATGTTTGGAGTCTCTTGTAAAACAATTGTTATTTTTACTGTAAGCTTTAAAAGTCAGATCTTAAAAAAAAAAGCAACAAAAGACAAAGGGTGTGTGTGTGGTTTTTTAATTATACAAGAAGTCCATGAATACATTATCCTTGAAAATAAAATGGAATATGGCAGATAAGGCTCAACGCCCCTTTGACCTCTGTGCACAATCCCAGCCTCTCTCCAGAGATAGCATCCCTGTTTGGTGTGTATCCAAATCTGATTTTAAAGTACCTAAAGCTCATTTGCCTGACTTGGGTGACCTGGACAGTTGGGGTGATACAGGCCATGTCCCTAACTGGGCACAAGCCCAGGCAGTTTGCTGGGACAGTGGGCACCCGTTAGCTGCCTGTGGCTGCCAGGATTGCCAACATGGGATGTACTTCCCTGTTCCAGGGTGGGGGACAGGGGGAGGAAGAGTGAGACCTGTGGGTACTGCTGTGTCCTTACTCTGGGGCCAGGACAGCTCCTCCATCTTCTTGCCCAATTCCTGTTCCAGAATCCCAGCACCCCGAGCTACTGGCCTAGATTGGATGCAGAGAGTCTGAAAGGAAGAATAGACACGTTTCCGCCAGGGTTTAACAGTCTCTCCAGCAGGCCTCAGGCCCCCAGGTGCAGTGCTGAGGCTGCGGGCTCCTGTGCTTGTCTCTGGTTTCCAACCACCTCACCCCATTCTCACCACTCCCCACCACCCTCCCTAGCATCTGTCCCTTCCCTCCTGGGAGCCCTTCCAGGAAGAAGCTCAGCTGACCATCTCGGTACTCTCTGGCGAAGAACGGGGGAAGTTTACAAGAAGAATATAAAGAACACAATTATATATTCAAAGGAATAAATCTCACATGGTAGAAATCCTGACATTGATGCCAAGTCATGGGGAGGAAAGTGGCTTTCCTGGCATACCAAGAAGGGTGGGGTCCCCAACTCCTGGGCCACTGATCAGTACCGGTCCATGGTCTGTTAGGAACTGGACGCGCAGCAGGAGGTGAGCAGTAGGCGAGTAAAGCTTCATCTGTGTTTATAGCCACCCTCCATTGCCTACACTACTGCCCCAGCTTCACTGCCTCTCAGATCAGCGGCAGCATTAGATTCTCATAGGAGTTCCAGGTGCCAGCCCTGTTTCGCATGCAATCCCTTATTCATGCAAGAGATCTTGCTCATGTACTCCTTATGAGAATCTAATGCCTGATGATCTGTCACTGTCTCCCATCCCCTGAAGGTGGGACGGTCTAGCTGCAGGCAAACAAGCTCAGGGCTCCCACTGATTCTACATTGTGGTGAGTAGGTAATTATTTCGTTAGATATTACAATGTAATAATGATAGGAATAAAGTGCACCATAAATGTAATGTGCTTGAGTCATCCGGAAACCGTCCCTCTATCTCTAGTTCGTGGAAAAATTGTCTTCCAGTTTTTGTCTTCCTTAGTGCCAAAAAGGTTGGGGACCACTGAAGTAGGGGACCTGACCCCCGACTTTTAGTTGCCTGACCTAGCCATGGAGGGCTGTCCCTCCTCACCGGGTCTGAGCCTGGCTCTATGCATTGAGGCAGGGAGTCCCCCAGAAGGAGGCAGCCAGCTTCCCTGCCAGGCCCTCTTGTCACAGCCCAGGAAGGATCATAAGAATCATGAAAACAACAGCAAGCGTTTACGGGCTGGGAAACAGGACGTGAGTCTTCTTCCCTTGAATCCGCCTAGCCCCATTCTACCAGAACCAACTATGATTTCAGTGCACACTGTTTAGATTTCCATCATAAATGCATAGACATCATATCCAGCAGTTTTCAGGGTTGTTTTTCTTTAATCAGCAAAAATCTTTTTTTTTTTTTCCTCAAGCAAAACAATCTTCCCCAGAGCTTTGACATGCGTGGCATATAAAATCAGTAAAAGGGTAAGTTTCTCCATGTGAAGAATTTTACTTGGCAGAGGTACTGTCATGCTCTGTGGAATCACTGAGGTTTCTACAGCACCGTTTGATCACCTCCCGTGGAAATCAACTTCCTTTTCTTACATCCGAGAACACCAAGGCGGAAGGTGAAGGTTTGCTGAAGCCCCCAGCAGGTCAGCGGCAGAACCAGGAAGGCCCAAGTCGCCAGGGGCTTTGTCCAAGGCTCTAAAACCAGTATAAGACCTTCCTTAGCCTGAAATGATAAATTTAGACAAAATCAGAGCTTATGAGGACACTTTGCTAGTCCAGGGCTGCCAGGGGAATGGTGTTGCCGTGGTTACGCTGGCCCAGGAAGTGACCTTTTGCTCCAGAGTCCTGGAACAGAGGTCCTGCTTCCTGCTGGGCTCAGGGAGGGGGTCAACGCGGGGAATGCTGGGGCTGTGGCCAAGGGCCTCGTGCTGTTTATGGCCTGTAAATCCTGTGTTCTGAGGCCATGTTGTAAACACTGAGGGGAACCTGGGGCCCTAGGGTGGGGGCCTGTGTCTTCCCTGGGCCTCCCTTTTAAAGGGAATTAGAGATGACTCCAGCTCAGCCCTTACATGTGGCCTCAATGGGAGCCATGGCTGGATCCTAAACACATTTAACTTGCCCAAATCCCACAGAGTCCAGGGAGCCGTGGCACCTGCTGGCTGCCTCCAGTCTGCAGTGAGTGGTTCTGATGGGGCACCTATGGGGGTGCGGCCCAGGAAACACAGAGGGGGAAAAACACCAGGCCCTGAAGGAGCTGAGTGGGGCAAACAGGGAAATGGGTGCTTCCGACACAGCAGGAGGAAGGCTGTGGAGGAGGCTGACGGGGAGGACGACAGAGTACAGACAGGGAAAGAAGGGACCACTCTGCCCATGAATGTGGGTGGGGGGAAGAGGTCAAAGTGATTGTCTTAGTCCTTTCAGACTGCTATAAAAACTGCTCTAGACTGGGTGACTTATAAACAACAGAAATGGATAGCTCACAGTTCTAGAGGCTGAGAAGTCCAAGGTCAAGGCATCAGTTGATTTGGTGTCCGGGGAGGGCTTGCTGCTTGGTTCACAGACTGCTCTCTTCTCACATGTGCTCACTTGGTGAAAGAGGCAAGGCGGCTCCCTGGAGCCTCTTTGATGAGGTCACTAATCCTATTCATGGCAGCTTTACCCTCAGGACCTAATCCCTGCTCTAAGGCCTCACCTCCTGATACCAGCGCCTTGGGGTTTGGGTTTGAGCAGATGAATAGAGGAACACAAATATCCAGATGGTAGCAATAAGCTTCCTGGAGGAGGCGGCATCCTAGCTAGGGTCTTGAAAGATAACTAGGAATTTGGACGAAGCAGCTAGTACCAAAATACAAAAGGGCCAAGGCAGGAGCAGGGGGGATCTGGTATGGCCACAGGTGGGATGGGAGCCACATCAGGAGGCAGGAGGGGAGACTTGTGAGAGCTTTAGCAGTTTGAGTCACATCCTGTGGGTCAGCACTTTTCAAGCTACTGTGCCCTAAGGAGCCCTAGATTTGGTGGAAAGGCCTCCGGGCAGGAGGCAAGCCCTGGACCATTCTGCTTTAAATTCCAGGCCCCACACATGGACAGCTTTGAACTAAGGTTCGAGTGATTAAGAAAGAACCTGGGAAACCGTCATCAGCCACATGGGAAGCTCCTGTTGGTTAGCCTCAGGCTCTGCCTCCTGACCGTGACCTTTTTTGGCCACTTAGAGGTGTCAGGGGCCCTAAGAGGCCTCCTCCCCTGATGGGCTGTGATGGATGGACATGACCATCACTTCTGCCCACTTCCCTGCCCAGCAGGGGACTGTGGAGGCAAGTCCAGCCAGTGGCTTCCTTGGCTTTGAAGCTGGTTGTCTGTGGTCTCATTTGCATTATGTCACAGAAGAGTCAGCAGGAACCAAATATAGACCTAGGGAAGAAACCAGCCATGTTGAGGAAGGGCCGCAGCACAGAGCAAGCTGCAGTCCCTTTATGGGGTTGGAGGCGGGGAGCCAGGCAGGCAGGCATGCATGGGTTGTGGCCAGGGTCATTGGTTGCTCCAGGACCCGCAAGGCACAGCAAAACCCTCCCTCCTCCAGGAAGTCCTCCTACTGCCTCAGGGGAAGGTCTCCCTCTTTCTGTGCCTCTGTGCCTCTGTTAGAGCAGGAGCCACTGTGAGGATGGTGATGATAAGGTCCTGCTCCTCCTGAGTGCCTGTCCAGGAGTTTTCTATGCATGACCTGGAGCCCCAGGGCTGCTAGTAGCCCCCAGGGCACCTCTGTGCAAATTAGAAAAAAAAATGCCCCTTCTGGTGGGTAGACACAGCTCTGTCCCAAGGCCATGGCGTTTCTGCAGGACACAGCCATCTGTCCAGCCTGAAAAGGAGATAGCTGCTGTGATCTCCACCTATAGCTGGGAAACTGAGGCCCATATCACATTAGGGCAACTTCTCCCAAGGCTTCCGAGGCTTTCACTCCCTGCTCCAGCTGTGTGGGCTACAAGCATGTCTCCCCTGTTCAGGGAAGTGGTGTGCCGGGCTCCGTGTCTGTCCCGAGAAGATGCTACGGTCTGAGTGTTTCTCAGACCCCCAGCAACATGTATGTTGAAATCCTCACTAGCAAGGTGAGGGTATGGGAGGTGGGGCCTTTGGAAGAGCTTAGGGCATGGGGCAGAGCCCTCCTGATTGGAATTAATGCCCTTATCAAAGAGGCCTGAGAAAACTCCCTTGCCCCTTACATCACATGAAGATGCAGCAAGACAGCCCCATCTAGGAACCAGAGAGCAGACCCTCCCAGACACCGAAGCTGCTGACACCTTGATCTGGGACTTTCAGCCTCCAGAACTATGAGAAGTACATGCCTGCCATTTCTAAGCCGCCCCATCCATGGTATTGTGTTGTAGCCGCCGGAAAGGACTGAGACGGGACCTCACTTCCTGCGTGTCTCAGAGGGCACTTGGCTAGGTCCAGCCAGAACCCAGCCAGAGGTCAGCCTCCGCCACCAAGCACGATGGCCACCTGAGAGACAAAACGCAGAGCAGGGCTCTCGCCTAACTGCCCTGTGACTTCAACCCCAGCTGAGGGAAGGAGCCATCTCTCCGCTGGGTCACTGAAGCCTTCCCAGCAGGCAGGCCATACCAGCTGTCTCAGACGCACCAAAGTAAACTCAGAACGGCTTTGTGATGTCACCAGCCACTCATGTCAGACCCATTCACCTCTCCTAGGACCTTCTCTCTAGCATAAGGCGTCCCCAGACTCACGTGGATGTGGTGCCCAAAGCCCACTCACAAAGCACCTATCCCAGCCTTAGCACACCTGGGCCCTCGCTCTCCCCTGCACCCATGTCACTAATGGATCGCTGCCCTTCTTTCCTGTTAAACCTGAATTGAACCTCAGAATCCTTCTCAACCCAGTGCCATAGCCAGAACCATCCGAGTTGGAATGTGTGAGATGCAACCTATTGTAGCCAGGCCCGATGGGATCGATGCCCAGGTTTAGAGATGACGAAATTGGGGAGCAGCAGCAGAAGGGAACTTCTGCAAGTCACAGAGCCAGAGCCTGTCAGTAGCAGAGATATGGCAAGAAGCCAGCGTCCCTCTCCTGAAATGGAGGCCCTGGTGGTTTCCATCAGGAATGTTTTGGGGGACCCCTCACAGTTAGTGTTGCAAGCCCTGGGACAGCCCTTGTACATTCCTTCAATGCCTGCCCTGGGGGTCCATAGCCCAGTCTTGGGTGCATCAGAAGGACCCAGTCTTCCATCCCTGTGGCAGTTGCAGAGGCCAGCAGGGGCAGCAGGGCAGGCCTGACCTTCATACACAGTTCCCTGTGCACACAGGGCGAGAGCAGGCACAATGGGGGAAGGATGTGGGAGGAAGGGTCAAGGGCCTCGGGTGACTCATGATGTGGGCTCAGGGAGTGTTTGCTGAGCCAACATGTCAGACTCGAAAAAGGATCACCAGAGGCTAAAATGTGGGGGCCTTGTGAGAATCGAGGTGCACCAGGAGCTCAGAGGTGGGGCCACATGTTCTGGGGGTGTCTGCAAAGACTTCTGGTAGCTCAGCACTCTCAGCCTGAGCAAACTCCTGCTCATTCATTCATTCATTTATTCAGCCAAGGCCGACTAGTGTCAAGTGTTGTTCTAGCCGCTGGGACACAGCAGTGAACACAACTGACAAAGCATGCCTGCGGCCTAGGGGAGCGGAGACAGTGAGCGACATAAATGAGAAGCAGGCGCGTGTGATGGTGATGAGTGGTAGGGAAGAGAGAAGGCAGGTGAGGAAGAGGGAGTGTTCTGGGACGGTTGCAAGTTCACATGACGTGGCCAGGGAGGGCCTGGCCATAGCAGATGATCAGCTAAACCTGACGATGGTGATGGAGGATGCATGTGGATCTTGTGGGAAAGGCCAGCACCTGCCAAGGCCCCAAAGCAAGAACAGCATGGTGTGCTAGGGGGACCGAGGCAGATGGGGCTGGAGGTCGGGTTGGTGGGGTGGACAGCGGGAGGTTGGAGGTCAGGGATGAGGCCAGATCCTGAAGGGCCTTGAAGCACAGAGTAATGACCTGGGGTTTTCCTTAGGGAGATGGTATCATAGGTTGAATTGTTGCCCCCAAAAAAGCCATGTTCACATCCTAACCCCCGGAACATGGGAATGTGACCTTATTTTGAAAAGGAATCATCTATAGATGTAATTAAATTAAGGATCTCAAGATCAGATCATCCTGTGTTATCCAGGTGGGCCTTAAATCCAATCACAAGTGTTTCTGTAAGAGACACACGGTGGAGAAGAGAAGGCCACGTGAAGGTCGAGGCAGGGATGGGAGTAGTGCTGCCACCAGCAGAGGAATGCCAGGAACAGGAAGAGGCAAAGAAGGAGCCTCCGCGGGAGCGGGGTCCTACTGACACCTTGATTTCAGACTTCTGGCCTTCAGGACTGAGAGGAGACTTTTCAATGACCAGTTCGTGGTCATTTGCTCTGGCTGCCCTGGGAAAATGATCCTGATGGGGAGCCCTTGGAAGATCCTGAGTGGAGGAGGCACGTGCTCTCCTGGGCTTAGAGAATCATCCAGACCTGTGTAGGGAAGTCTGAGCCAGGCAGGGACAGAGCAGTCAGGGTGTCACTGCGGTGATGCAGGTGACTGATGGCTAGAAAGAGTGATGGATGGAGGAGGTCACAAGAGAGGGACAAGCCTGAAAAGGAAGTAGAAATGGGCGGAGCAGGGGAGGTGGATGGCCAGATGGGGAATCCGTTGAGGAAACCCGGGGGCTGTGATGGATTTTGTGATGCAACCTCTGCCTCCTGGGTCGAAGCGATTCTCGTGCCTCAGCTTCCCAAAAAGCTGGGATTATAGACATGCATCACCATGCCCGGCTAATTTTTGCAACCCTGCTGGGGCTGGGAGCAGCGTGCATATGCTAGAGAGGGGCTCAGGAGAACAGTGTGACCAAGGGAGGTGTCCTCCTGGAAACCTTCACGCCAGCCTAGAAGCACAGGATAAAAACCAACTTCCTCTAGGGCCAGCTTTCTGGCCTGGTTGCTGGGGCTGCTCTGTCCTTGGACCATCCACAGGACATGATATTGAACCATCAGATTTTACAGCCTCCCCCATGCAGCCACCTGTGGCTGTGTTTGCTGGTCAGAAACTCTCAGAAGTTTCTGAGAGGCCAGGTGCGGTGGCTCGGGCCTGTAATCCCAGCACTTTGGGAGGCAGAGGTGGGCAGATTGCTTGAGGCCAGGAATTCAAGTCCAGCCTGGCCAACATGGTGAAACCATATCTCTACTGAAAATGCAAAAATTAGCTGGGCATGGTGGCGCATGTCTGCTTTTTTGGGAGGCTGAGGCACGAGAATCACTTGAACCCGGTAGGCAAGGTTGCAGATAGCCAAGATCTCGCTACTGCACTCCAGCCTCTGGGCGACAGAGCAAGACCCTGTCTCAAAACAAACAGACACACAAACAGGTCTCTCAAAGCTCCAGAGAGGCAGAAAGTATCAGCAACATATGTGGTCTGCCAGAACTTTGACAATAAACACCTGATCTTGGTGCTACGGGCAACTTCCAAGTCTTGGGGCTCCCAGAATCCAAGCGGTTGTGGCTCTGTGGGGC